TATACAGAAGATCAGTTTAGCATATATTAAGTAAAGATTTCAACAGTTTGCACCCACATAGAAACACAAAGTGAAAAATACTGTTTGAGTACTAGTTATAGCATTAAATCACAATGTACAGCACATTAAGGACAGAGATCCTACATGGGGAGTAAGTGCACAGTGACTCCTGTTGTTGAATTAACAAATTGACACTCTTCTTTATGGCATCAGTAATCACCCTAGGCTCTTGTCATGAATTGCCAAGGCTATGGAAGCCTTTTGAGTTCACCGATTCTGACCATATTTAGACAAGGTCGTAGTCAAAAATGAATTATTTTAATTATTGAATTATTTTTAAAAGCCTCAGCAAATAAAAGCAGAAGGGATTGTTCTAATGTATTTTGGAATAATTAAAAACAATTAAATTATCACCATGCAAGGATATTTTACTACTATAAAGTATTTGAATTACTCATTTCCTAATTAATATATCCATGGCCTTAGATTTGAAGATGAAATTAGATTAACTTTTTAATTCACTAAGATGATGAAAAAGTCTTCTTAGTTGTTATATCAGAAAAAAGATAATATTCTATAAATGCTTGAACATAATGACTCATCAGAAAATGGCTTTTTCTTCATAAAAACTCAGTGATAACAAAAAAATATAACTTTATTCTTGAGCAATACTACCTTGCTTTTTTTTTTTTTTACACAGTGAAAAAAAGACAGTGGACAAAAGTCAACCTGTAAAGAAATGGTTTATCCTGTAACAGACCAGCACTGCAGGAGATTTGTTTTGCTTTCACCAAGACAGTCCTTTGTATAACAAGAACAACCTATTAAGGGTTTAATGACACTGCAATAGCATATTAGACACTGAAAAAGAAAACAAGGATTCTTGTCACCAACTCCAGTTGTTTTCTACTACAACTATCATGGAACCTACCATCCACATAATCTTCAAATGGGCAATTGGTTTGCTGATGAGTTTTTTTGACTTTAGCTCTGCTTTTGACTCAGCTTTTCTTCTATTTTATGACTTTGAACAATCCATCCTTTGGCTGGGAGAACTAAATGTCACCTACTAGCCCAAAAGGGAAAAGTCCACATCAAAAATGGAACCAGGTTTGTTCATGGGATCTCCCTGTGTGGATAGTATCGTAAATGCATGGGAAGAAGTGAATTTGGTGAGCAGCTGAAATGGACTTGCCTACCTTACAGCACTGCTATTTCTATAAACTCTGAGTTGCCTACTTGTCTGCACAAGGTACAATAATCTGGGGTTGGCACCTGCTGATAAGAGTAATTATAGCATTAGTGGAAGCAAGCATGCTATCTAAGATTGAAAAACAACTCTAATTACAACTCCATCATTTCACTTCCTCACAACTGTTTCTTTTTGTGCTTTTACACAGAGCTTACTCAGAGATTAAATTAAATCTGCATCTATTTGAAAACAAACCTTTAAATAGCTGTGGGACTAGAGGAGGAAATAGCTTTTTAAAATTAAAATACATACATGCTGAGGTGAGCACTTGATATTTACAACATTAGACAGAACTTGCTGACTCACTTTTGATTAGATGTTTACACATTGCTATGTAGATAAACTGAAAGAAATATCAGAAATATTGAAAGTATACTTCAAGGGTAAATATAAAGCCTAGACCTTATAGAGTGAAGACAAAAAACTGTGAAATACTTCTATGTCAGTTATCCAATTCAACAGACACTATTTAAAACAATAATATCCAGAAACTTAATTTGATGTCCAAAATTCAAGTATACAACTTGCATACATTAAAATTATAAATTTATATCAAATGCCTTTATGTATTAAGAACCCTGTTTTTAGACCCCAAAAAGTATACATGACCCAATTTCAGAGAGGAATATACACAAGGAATAAATATTATTGAATCCTACTTTGTCATATCATAATTTTGTGATTTGGGATATAATTTGAATATTCTAGATTACTGGAAAAATAAAAGCAATATGAATTTATAAAGATTCCACTGTTAACCAGGAAACCCCAAAGTGAGAATATGCCCTTTCAATGTCACTGTTAAGACCCACAAGAGCTGCTCCTTCCTCCAACTCCTGCATAGGGAAGTGATGTTTCTGCCTAGCAACAGAATAGAAGCAAACTCCTGAGAGTTGGGGCCAGACCTATCATACACCATATCGAATATAAGACCCTGTGCTGAGCACCACAGAGGTTACCAATATAGTAATTTTTTTAAATTTCAAATCTTGGCAACAAAATCATGGAGCCACCCAACATCTCAGAAAGACCTTACATATTTAGTGATAATTAGGTAGGAAATCTAATTTCCCAAGTTGATTCAAATAGACCTTCCCTACATTGCACACACAAAAACACTATGACTCAGATAATAGAAAAAATTCCTTCTGGATAACCAAGAGTATGGAAGAGCTCTCCCTGCTGAAATACGTATCTTCCATTAACTATGATGTATTCTTGCTTTGTTGTTAGTGAAAATGAAAAATAATGCAATCATTCCCACTGGGGGCACAGTCACCGCCTGCATCATTCCCTGGGAATAACTTTAACTGAAAGTGATTTCAGGACTCTAACTAAAGCAGAGAAGACAGTAACAAAGACCAAAATATTAAAACAACTATGTAATTCCTTCATATCCTCAAAAGAAAGAGGAAAGATGCAAGAAAGCTCCTATGTCTTATTATTAACCAAATGTCTCCACATTAACCTATTTCATCTTCAATAGAAAGTAAAATGCTGGTCTGATTATATTTATCAAGACAGATGCCACAAAATTTCTGAGTACAACACACACTGAGTAAGATCCACAGCTACATCACAGAATATCTTACTTGTTCCTATAAATTAATAAATAAATATCAATATTATTCATATTAACTATTTTAAACTATATAGTTTAGGCTATTTTTAACACAAGATACAATGAAAGTTGAAAATAGCATCAACTCATTTTAAGTGGGAGAAAGCTTCTTAACTTGAAAATTAAAAACTTTTATAACCAAGTCTGCTGCAAGCCTTTTTCTTCCCTTCCTCCTGATAGTGTAAATGAATTGGATGCCTTATTTACAGATGAAGTTGAAAGTCATTGCTAACAACTAGTGCAATCAAGCCTTTAATACAAACTACCACCCTAGATCCAAGACTTATAAATCCTCATCCCCTTTGCTTTTTTTAAAAAAATGATAATCTGATAATTAAAATCATAACTAAGAACATTCATTACTAGATTTTGAGAAGAAAATCAATATTAAACTTGCCATGAAATATGAGAATAAGCAGAGGCTTTTGCCATGATTGATTTTAACTGAATTGCTAATATTTCAATTAACAAGTACTACAGAGAAATATAGCACGATTAACACCCTTAGTAAACAGGAGGCCATGGTGACTTTTCCAGATGCCTCTGGTTGTCATGGTATTCTCTCATGCCCTGTCTCTCGCATTTTTTATTGTAGGTAGAAAGCCTACAAGCTCTTTAGTCTAACATAACACAGTTATATGAAGATTTTATGTGTTCCTGATACAGATTTTGCACACACCTGTTGAACACAAAGAAGTGGATACAGAAGTTCTTTAGAATAATACTTTGACTTTCTATTTCAAAGGAGATCATATTAATTCTTAGTTCATGCAATTATTAAAAACAAGATGTTATCGACATTATGTTTTCTAATTTGTTTCATTAAAACTTATCTTCAGAGTAATGTTCTTCCCTTTAAAATATTTTCAAGCCCACAAATAACATGTCCATGCTTGAAATGAAATTAATTGCATTTTAAGTTTCACTTAATTAATTGCATTTAAGTTAGATAAAAAGCTTACCCACATATTAAATGTTTAAGAATTAAAATTCAAATTTAATAACATTTTCTTCCAGCAGTTTTTGTAAACAAGCAGACAAAATTAATGTGCCAGAAATTTGAATTGTTTATTATTCATTTTGTTGAAGTAATGCTTTAATATGCTACTTTTTAGGAGTTTATTTTTACCCTTCAAGGGATGCCACTCAGAAAAGAACAGAGGACTATTAATCATGCTATGGGATACAATTCTTATGCACCATTCTTTCTTCTAATTCTTTCAAATTCTCTTCACTGTGTATTATTTGCTATCAATCTAGTCATAAAACATAAGGGCACACACACACACATACACACACACAATTGTAATCTTAAAGGTGCTTTAGAATTAAAAGTGGTGCACTCTCTTCCCCAAGAGAGCAACAGGAGAGCTTTGCAACTCTCTTTTGGAACAGAGTTTTCTTTGTGTAGTATGAAAGGAAACATAACATTTAGATACCAAAAATCCAAAGGAAGCTAAAGTATTTTATCTACAGATGATGCCTATATTAATTTCACTTGAGTGCTTTTATTGCACTAATCAGACATTGAAGAGGAGCTGACACACGGGAAAACTGCTTTCTGCTGTATATGTTAAACAGAAGGATTATAAGCACCTGGGAATGCTCTATTCTCCGCATGCAAATGACATTCTGCAAACAATTAAATGCACTCACTAAAATAGTGGAAGTGTGGGATGGAAAGAGCAAGTGTTAAGAGAGTTATAATATGGCATGCTCTGCCTATTCCGCCCTTTTTCAGAGGCTGCCGAGTGCCTTCGAACATGGGGCACAGGCAGACCCTTGGGAACGAACATATGAGTCACAACAACACACTCGACACCATCTCACACGCTCTGCTAATTACAAAACTCCAATGATTTGACAGCGAACCCCTAGCCTCTCAAACGTGTTTTCCGGTTTTACAGCGACACCGGAGACGACAAGAGACTCTGCCTGACTGAAGGGAGGCAAAGCGTCCATTCTAGCCCCTCCTCATAGACCCCCAACACTTTCTATCATTGGAGGTGGTTCCACAAGTTCCCAGGCTCCAGCCCTTCAGTAGGCAAGTTCAGCACCATGGAAAGAACTCGAGATGCGCACGGAGGGGGAGAGGGTAGGAGACACAGAATCTCCTCCGCCACTCACCGGCGTCTGCTGCGACGGGAGTCCTGAGCGCTTGGTGGACCCCTGCTTGGAACTTAACCTTTTCCACGATTCGGCAAACCTGCCCCGGCTGGCGCTGCGGCTGCGCCTGCGGCTCTCCGCGCTGTCCTCGCGGTCCGAGCAGCCCCGCTCCACTTCCGCCGCATCCCTCCACTTCTTGCCCATGCTAAGTTCGCTTCGTTCGGCCGGGAAGCTCTGCGGCTCGCTCCGGGCCGTAGGTTTCCCTCCAGCCTGAGCGCAGCTCTCGGTTGGCGCCGCCTTTGCCTCGGCTGCCTCCTCCAAGAGCCCTGCGCTACCTTACCGCCGCCGCCACCAGGCTGCGCTTGCGCCCGCGATTGGCTACACTGTGGGTTGGGGCTGCTAGCGCCACCTGTGCCGGAGACGGCTTGCTTTTGCGCCCCTAAATTGCTCTACACTCCGCGGCCGCCGCCTTCCCCGAGGGGCGCTCGGCCCACGCCTGAGGCTGTGGCTGCGCAGCTGGGAAGCAACCTGCAGCCACCACACCCCCGTCTCCCAGGCCTGGGGACCAACCTCACCCCACCTTGAGCAGCAGGTTACCCACACCGGGTGGGTGGAGACTCCAGGTGACTTTCGAGGAAAACAGGACGCGTCAAACTTTCTCCTCATTCCTTGTCTCTTTCTTCGTTTTCTGCTCTTTGCCACAACTGTGTGTCTTCTGGGAGAGGCGGCCTCAGGTCCTTGTCAGCACGCTGTGCCCTTCTCCTGCTTCCTCGGTCTAGCCCACTGGGTCTCTGAGACACGGCCCGGCCGCACAGCCATGTTCAGTTACCCGAATGCTTATTATGTTGTTAGTGCTTAAACGCTCCCCCTGATGATTCTCACTGCTCCATCCACAATGAAGTGCAATCGAGGGCCTGTGCTTTGAATTCAGGCAAAAGGGCATTCTTGGAAGCAAAAAGGTTAATCTTTCTTACATCAACTCGTTCACTCCTTTCTTTCCTGGGCCATGGGTGCATAGGGCTGTTAAGGTGAGGATGGTATGAAATAGATTCGTGGGTGAACTCCTGCATCTTGTATGTTCTGACACCTCCACCTTGTCGTTTCACGTGGTTGCCTTGTGCTCATTAGAAGGAAAGCCTGCAGACTCTCATGAGTCTTGCGTCGGTTATTTTACCAGGCTGAGCTGTCCTCGTATTCAGGAATGGCCTTGATCAGAGGAGAGAGGGCAGCTGGGGGCACACACATGTACCAAAGCTGAAACAATGACCATACTCATTATTAAAGGCAGTGAGACCTAAAAACGCTCCAGCTGAAAGGCTCTCTGCTTGCTTATCTGTTGTGCTGGCAACAAATATATCATTTTTTTTTCTAAATTCTCCTATTTGAACGTTGCCAGGTCCTCTCAGGAGGGAAAGGTGGAGGGGGATTAGGAGGGAAAGGGAGAACTGGTAAGTGCTGCAGGAAAATTGGTGTAGTGGCGCTAGTTGTGAAAATCATCATGCATTGTCCGCGGTCAGTCTGATTAAGCAGGGGTTTTGGAAGTGGCTGGTTTACGGGAGTGGAATACAGAGCTCTAAAATCGCACAGCTGTGCACCTGTGTATGCCGCTACATTAATAAGAATACTATCATTTTAAGCAAAGGGACTCTCAGAGCACACATTTACCTTCTAAAACCAACACTATGTACAGAAATCATACACTCATATTAAACAAAATGAGACTCTAAGCAACATTTGCTACACACAATGCCATTTAATGAGAAACCGCAGGCTCCATTTTGCATTTCATGGATTTGAAATTATTAGTGACATTTCATGGAAATATAGTCATTCAGTCCAGATTCCGCCCCCTCACAAAAATAAAACACAATGATTATGCATAGCTAAAAAATTACACAGGTATGAGAAATAAATACAAATTGGAGGTAGAATCAAAGTCAACAAATTAAGATTTAAAAGTAAATATTTTCCTTTTCTATTAGTTGCTTACAATAAAAACGCCCTGAGAAGTGCAACCCCTGTGTGTTAGCCTGGATACCTTGAAAGTTGACTGTGGGTGTAATGATAACATCTCTCAGGAGTAGCCAACAGGACCCTTCCTGATGTATGAAGGCAAATCATCCAAGAATGCATCACTGAGCTCCAAGACCCTAGTTCAACCACATCAACCCATTAAAAGAAAAATGACTCTAGGCTAATCCTCCGCCTTGCGGCGCCGGCACACCGGGTTCTAGTCCGGGTCAGGGCACCGGATTCTGTCCCGGTTGCCCCTCTTCCTGGCCAGCTCTCTGCTGTGGCCAGGGAGTGCAGTGGAGGATGGCCCAAGTGCTTGGGCCCTGCACCCCATGGGAGACCAGGATAAGCACCTGGCTCCTGCCATCGGATCAGCACGGTGCGCCGGCTGCAGCGCGCCGGCCGTGGCAGCCATTGGAGGGTGAACCAATGGCAAAGGAAGACCTTTCTCTCTGTCTCTCTCTCTCTCTCACTGTCCACTCTGCTTGTCAAAAAAAAAAAAAAAAAAGAGAGAGAAAATGACTGTCACCATGAATATCTGTCAGGAATGACTGTGCCAGCATGTCAATGAGCACCAACGCAAACTATGAGGTTTTGGTTGGTTTGTTTGTTTTAAATCATACTTAGACAAATTTAAAGATGAGTAGTGATTGCACAAGTCATTTTTTAGCTGTTTGGTCTAAAAATGAGCTTTCAATTGCCCTTATATTAGACTGTACTTTTTAAAGGCTTGTTTGAAGATGATCATCTCTGCATTTCTTTTTTTGCACTTGCCAAACACTGAAAATGCCTGGGAACAGTGTAAGAGGTGAAATTAGTTGTGATTTAGGCAAGCAGAAAGAGAGACCCTTTCCTCTTCTGATGTTCACTTGTCTTACCAAAGTTTCTAATGGACAGCAACTAGAACACTAGGTTAAAAGTCTATTGTATTTCTGGGGCTGGCACTGTGGCACAGTGGGTTAAGCTGCTGCCTGCACTGCCAGCATCTCATAAGAGCACTGGTTTGAGGACTGGCTGCTCCACTTCCAATACAGTGCCCTGCTAATGCTCCTGGGAAAGGAGTGAAGATGGCTTCAGTCCTTGGGCTCCTGCACCTATGTGGGAGACCCAGGTGAAGCTCCTGGCTCCTGGCTTCTGTCTGACCCACCACCAGCCTTTGCAGCCATTTGGGGTATGAGCCAGAGGACAGAAGATTTCTCTTTGTCTCTGTCTCTGTAACTCTTTCAAATAAATAAATAAATCTTCTTAAAAAAAGAAATTCTATTGCATTTCTTATGAAATTAGCAGAGAATGGCAGCAACAAAGTTAAGAACGTGTTGAAAATCAGCAGCATTAAGTTTCTGGCATCAGAGTTAGAAGCCATTTCCAAAACAACTTAGCTTTAGTGGAGAAGAATCACTTCAATTACAAACAGTGGCTGCTAGCAAATTCAAGAAGGCAAAATATGACATAAACCTTTTTCCTCCATGGTTCCTAAACATTTAAAAAATGTACGAATTTGTAGGACAAAATGAAAGCAAAAGTTACTTATATTCTTAAGCACCAGTTTATATAAAAATTAAAACATATTTTGTTTGTATCAATCAAAATATAATATTTTGAAATATTCTATAAGATAAATTTTAGCGTTCAAAAAATTCTCAAGAAAATATCAAATGCCAACAGTTATTTCCCTGCCCTAGGGAAGCTGAAGCTGACATGGTCATACAAGCTTATTGATGAGTCTATAATCAGAAGAAACTGTCTTTAGAATGCATTCACTTGGGGTTCCATGGCCATGCGCTTGATTGTAGGAGCACTAATAGGAAATATATTTTTCTTTGCTTACATTTGGGATGTGCAAACCCAGAGGCATACCTGGGAACTAATGAGATGAAGTGAAGTATGAGAGGGGAGGGCAAACAGGGAAAGCAATGGAAACTACAGGGCTCTGATTGATAACAAAGCTCACCTCACAAACAAGAGAGTATGAACCATATTTCATCAATTTCAACACTGTCAGTTTTTCACATTTAATCTCTCTGAAATCAGGATTTTAAAAAAATAGATGGCATCTCACATTTGGTGTAATATAGTATATTGATTCATAGCATCTCAGAGTGAGATAGACACTAGCCAGTCTGACTTCAAACATCTGACAAACTGTCATTCAACTTCTGCCTAAATGGTCAGCTTTGGGCAATAGGTATTTTCTTTCTCTTAAGTAAAGCAATTCTTTACTAAATAGCTTTAAGCATTAGCAAGCCTATTCTTATAAACTAAGCTGAAATTTGTGTCTTCTACCCTTATTTTAAATTTTTTTTTTTTGACAGGCAGAGTGGACAGTGAGAGAGAGAGACAGAGAGAAAGGTCTTCCTTTGCCCTTGGTTCACCCTCCAATGGCCGCTGCGGCCGGCGCGCTGCGGCCGGTGCACCGCGCTGATCCGATGGCAGGAGCCAGGAACCAGGTGCTTTTCCTGGTCTCCCATGGGGTGCAGGGCCCAAGCACTTGGGCCATTCTCCACTGCACTCCCTGGCCACAGCAGAGAGCTGGCCTGGAAGAGGGGCAACCGGGACAGAATCCGGCGCCCCAACCGGGACTAGAACCCGGTGTGCCGGCGCTGCAAGGCGGAGGATTAGCCTAGTGAGCCGCCGCGCCAGCCCACCCTTATTTTAAATTTTGGAGTCACACTTATTTAATATGTGTTCTCTTACTCATGATAGCCATTAAGAACTTGAAGATGGTCTTTGCAAAACCCCTACAATTTCTCTTCCCTTAAGCTAAACAATATTTTGCTCCTCTGTCATGTGCTTACATACATAGATGAAAAAAGACAAAATTAACACAGTTGGATACCAAGAGAAATTTGAAAATGGTGAGTGTTCAACAAATTGGGGTCACCCCCTGTGAGTTCCCTAGAAGCTTACCCACTATGACTAGACTCTCCATGAAGTGGGACTAGTCAATACCCATGAAGCAGGAGAAAGGATGTCGAATTTGCATTCAGTCATGATTAGATTCTCTCCAGTAGAACTGAGGGCTGAGACTCACACAAACCAAATAAGCGTGAGTTGAAATAATTATCCCTGTAACTCAAGCACAAAATCTCACAAAACCCATGACTATTAATCAAGAAGAGGAACACTTGGCTTATCCTGGTTCATGTAAATTGGCCATCTTATGTGGATGAAATTCTCTAGGTGTTAATTTCTGGAAAAAAAAAAAAAAACTTCTTTCTTAGGGAAAAAGCATGCAGGTATCTCCCCTGCAAACCTGCTGAAACTCTTCCAAAGGGCTACACACTTCCTGACCTGATCCAAGTAGAAGACACAGAGGGCCAGAGCACCTGGCTATACAACTATCCAGTTTTCTCCTCCTTCTTCCCTTCCTCTCTTTCTTTCTTCTCCCCTTCCTGCTCTGCCTTCCCTCCTCCCTTTTTTTCCTTTTCTTTCTCACTTCCCTAGTTTCTTGCTTTCACTCCCTTCCTTCCTTCCTTTCTTGCATTCTTCCTAGTTTTAAGTTTTTCTATAATTTATTCACTCAACATGGAACAGACCAAATCCTTTAACTGTCTAGGCTTTTGACTCTTTTCACAATATTGTGATTAGTACGAATTTTTTGCAGAAGTTTTATTTTTCATTGACACAGTAAAGACATGTTTGTACAGAAGTAGGTTTTTCCTCTTTCTAAATCTATAGCAAATACGTTTTTTATATTTTACTTTAAGCCTGTAAAAGAATGACTAATTTTAATGGTATAAGAATTATAAAGGTAAAAGTAATAAATTAAAAATATATATATAACCATTGAAATTGTAGAGAAAAGAAAGCAAATGGAAAATGGTATGCTGAGATGAGTTTACATCTATTATTAAATAATGTCTAAAATATATGAATAAATAAAAATCCATATGCCACCTCTATCAGCATAACCAACATCTGTAGGCAGAAAACTGGAGCTGAAAACAATTGTAAACACTGCTAAGGATGTGGAGCACTTGAAATTTTCGCATTGTAGGTAGGAGTGTAAATTGGCACAAACTTTTGTAAAGCTTTCTGGCAGTATCTTCTAAGTTTATTGTACACACACTCAATGCCCAGAAACTCTACTCCAAGGTACCTACTCAACAGAAATACATGCATATGATTCCTAAACGACTGTAAGAACATTTAGAGTACCACTATATGTAAAAGTCTCAAACTAATAAATATACAATTGTCCATACACAGCAAAATGAAGACATGATGGCATATTGGGACAATGAAATGGTGTATAGTGGTAAGAATGATGAAGTTGTATTACATGCAAAACCATGTGTGATGCAACAACAACACTGAGCAAAATAAGATAGATGCAAACAAATATGTATTATAGAATTCCATAATATAAAGTGAAGTCTAGGCAAAATAAACTCTTGGAAGTCAAGATAGTGGTTCCCGTTACAGGTAGCACTCTATAGAGGCAGGAAGACAGGATATGCAGGGCATCTGGGTGCCAATGATGCACAGTTTTGTGGTCTGGATGGTAGCAACTAGGGTGTGTTCATTCTAGGAAAATTGTAAGGATGCACAATTGTAAATAATTAATTTGTCATGTGTATATCATGTTAATAAGAAGTTTATCAGGATAGATGAATGGTAGGAAGGAAAGACATATATAAATATGTTTCCTGATATTAGTTATTGTACATTCTATTGCACTACATTCTTAAATAATCACATATATATTATACAACCCTACATGTATATCATGATATTCTTAATTGTCAAAATAATTTCATGTATTCTCTCTTAAGGTCTATATTTTTACCTTCCATTTCAGAACAGGAAGCAGACTAAGCACAATTGTATGACTTGCTCAAATTCTCCCAGCTAATAATTGTAGGTCAGAGCCTTGAACTCTAGATTTTTAGTCTCTAACCCCAAGTTCCCTTTTGTCTATGCTGCAGTTACCTGTATATAACATTATATGTGATAGAATTGCATATATAAACACATTTATAAATATATAATATGTACATCTACTGCCTGTATATAACATTATATATGATAGATTTATATATATATACATTTATAAATGTATAAAATGTTCTTCTATATGAGTGATATATCATATTACTAAATGCTAAATGTGTGTTGTAAAAAAACAGATCATTGAAATAAAAAACTAGATCTACTAGGCAGCATGTACTGACTCTGTATCTTCCTAACAATTTAGAAACATTTGGAGAAATTTTAGTAACATTGAGGGAACCTTCTGAGAGATTGCAGGGAAAAGAGCCTGTCTGGAAAATTGCCTAATACTTCTTCACTGATGTCTAGATAAGCTGAGCCAAAAATTTTACAAAGAGGAAAACCTCTTAACTGACCTCTATTTAACTGATGTGAAGAGCAGATTTCTTTTCCCCCTAAAACTTTGAACCCTAATAACTGATCAGCTAT